GGTTTTTGGTGTTTTCTTAGGCTGGTTTCTTCTACCCTATATATACCTCTTTGCCATAACTATTTTCAACTAATCAAGAAAGTTTTTAAACAAGTTTAAAAGAGTGTTTAAGAGTTTGTTTAAGTTTTGTTTCAAGTTTATTTTGTAAAGAAATTTTCACAAGAGGAAGAGGAGATTATCCATTCTTGTTTGGGCTTCAATCTACATCGCTGCACTCTTGTTTTAAAGAAGTTTTCTTAAACTCATTTTCTAGCTTGTTTATGCTTAATTTGTCATATTTATTTTTGCTAGATTAAATTGAGTTTATATGTTATTTTACTCTTTATTTTCACACACAACCTATTGAGCTTTTAGTATTTTATACATAATATATTTGGGGTTGTGAGATTGTGTTTCTTAGAGTGTGAGCTTACATTGTGTTCTCATCTATTGTAGAGAACTAACCATTTGTTATTGTTCTTATCGTGAGATCACTTTGTAATACACTTGTACACCGAGAGGAGTGTGTGGTGAGAGACGGGATCGATTCCAAGAAGAGTGACATCGATAGTAAAGCCTAGGGAGAGATTGTACATCTGAGCACTTAAAGAAGATGACACAGGCTATGGTGCGAAACACCCTTGGGTGTTTCGTACATGTGTGCGAAACACCTTGGGTGCGAAACAATACTATGTGTTTCACACTCTGAGTGCGAAAAACAACTTTGGTTGTGTTGTTTCTTCATCGTTTCGCCGTTTCGCGCGTTTTGTTGACTCGTACGCTTTGCCGACTCGTTTCGTGCGTTTGTTTGCTTCTTTACGGCATCGGATAATCCTCTTTGACTTGGATAATGACGTTCATCACATTTTCTTCGTCTCGAGTTGCGTGCGAGAATCTATAGGTAATTTTTGACGCCTACAACTTCCTACTTGGATCAAAACTAATCTAGTTAAGATATTAACCCAATTAGCGAAGAGTAGTCAAACACACCCTTAGATTTTCCTGAATTCTATGTTAATTTTAATACAAGATAAAAAGTGATGGTCTATAAAGACTAATAATAAGTTCTCACAAGTGTTGTAGCGAGCAGTAAGTGAATGTTAATTAATTAAATAAATTACCCAGCAAGGATGGCGCCTATGCAAACGGAAGATCCAACTGCTAGCCCTGCCAATTCTCCCACCTGTACGTGCATAGATGAGCACATGCATACATACATACATAAGTCAAACCAACAAAAATCTTCAATTTCAATTGAAATCAACAAGATCAACTGTTATCTTTTTTTTTTTCTACTTCTTTTAGCAAAACTAATAATCATTAATTTCAGATTAGGTGCTCACAGCTCTGGTATCAGTGGCAACCGCAGAGGTGACAAACATCAAGGTGAAGGTGGCGATAATCTCCATAACCAGAGCCTGATATGCGGTCCCGGAGGGCGTTGTTGTACCAAGATCGTGCAATGGCGGAAGCACCTTGTGCAGGGTGAAGGAGGCAATCATAGCCCCTGTAAATTGGGCTGACATGTAGAAGGGAACCTGCAAACGAACAACTGAGCCATATGATCTTTTACCCCATTTTTTTTTTAAAAATCATATTATCACATATACATATATGTATGTAATAACAGCAGGTTGCACGTATCAATCAGCATTAATTTGTACGTGCGGTAACAAAATATTTGGGAAGGCCTGACCTGTATCCAAGGGAAATGTCTGGTGACTGCAAAGGCCAGCGTCAGGGAGGGGTTCATGTGAGCACCGGAGATGTGACCCACTGCGTATATCATCGTGGTCACGGTGAGGCCGCCGGCAATTGACGCTCCAAGCTGCGATACTTCGTGCTCATCACTCCGGTAAAGGGCGCCAGACCCGCTGCCAACGAACACTACCATGAACGTGGCTATCAGCTCTGCCATCACCTGCAAACACGTACGTATGAACATATATACGCTGGCCTGCAGCTAATTAATCAATCAAGCACTTGTGCTAGCTGCTTAATTACCTTTCTGAGGATACACGGAGGTAGTCGATCTCGAAGCTGATTGAGAGTTTTTGGGGGGTTTTGATCAGTTGAGATCTCACTGATATCTAATGAGTGATCTTCTGCAGGTCTCGTAGAGTTTGAAGCCATATATGTTAATTAATATCTCGCTTCATCAACTCCGTACTAACACTCTTCAATTGGGTCTGATCAATTAGCTTGTTGGATCTAATTATTCTATGTGGTGTGCTGCTTCTTCTCCTTATATTTAGGCTAGTAACGCTGCATACGCAAGAAGAAGATTATTAATTAGTGTGACCTAGCTAGCTAGCTGATTGGTTTGTGACTCAAAACTAGTACTCTTGCTTGGATCGATCCACAGATTTTGAAGCACGTGGCAAACTCCCCACGATGAAATTAGTAGGAGAAAGCAGTTCAATTCTCCTTTCAAATAACTAGCCAATCAAAATCAAGCTGGTTACCCGTACCTAGCTACGTCAATCCAATATTTTTTGAACGTGCTGCATGTATATAAAAATTAAGTTTTCTTTTTTCCGGAATTAAGTGGGATTGACCAATTTACAAGACATTACCTACTTCTCTAATTTTTGATATCCAGAGGGAGGTTTTGATTAAAAACATATGATGAGTAGGTGAGAATTTAGATTTACGTCTATTTTTCAGGACCATCGCTCTTAATGGGAGATGGAACCAATCAGTGTATTTCTGTTTGTTTGGCCCTAGGGGACTTGGCGGTCGCAATTGTCACCTCTATGGGTAATCAAGCTCCCAAAAAAAAGGGCCCCTTTTTTTCGATTAATTAAATAGAGGATTATACACACACATACATACATACATATATATGTGTGTGTGCGCGCGTGTGTACACACACATATACATACACACACAAACAAACACACACACACATACTAGTTAAGATGCATGTGCGATGCACGTGGTAGAATATCATGATCATGCAAATTGATAAAAATAGAATAAAAATAAAAAATAAAATAAAGTTTTTTGCGGGATTGATCATCAACTCAATATATAATCTCTCTTTCAAATGAAATATTGTCATTGTTTCCTTCAACCCAG